CATCGTCTTCGGACGCCGCCACGGCCGACGTGGCGATCCCCAAGAGGGTGGGCAGCGGCCGGATCAAGGTGGTCGTCCGCAAACGGCCTTTCCGCAGAGAGGAGGCGGGGACGGACTGCGTGAGCATTCAGCCTCCGAATATTCAGCTTTCCATCACCAAGCAGCGCGTGGACTTGTCTGAGTATCACGAGATCAGCAACTTTATCTTTGATGGCGTATTCGATGAGACGGTGACCAATGACGCGATTTACGCGTCCTGTGGACGAGAATTGCTGGAGGAGGCGCTTAAGGGCGGTAGTTCTTCCTTCTTTGCCTGCGGTCAAACCGGCAGTGGGAAGACTTACACTATGGTAGGTAACGATCAGGAAAAGGGCCTTTACCTTCTCTGCGCCATGGAGCTCTTCCAATGCCTGTCTCCCAATCATTCCGCCCTAGTCTCTTTCTACGAGATCTACTGTAGCTCCCTCTATGATTTACTCAATCAACGCTTTCCGGTGATACTGCGTGAGGACGCGAAAGGGCGCGTCAACATCTGCGGCCTCTCCTGGCATCCCGCCACGAGTGTCGACGAGCTATGGCGGACCATGAATACTGGACTGGAGCTGCGACGTACGGCTAGCACGGACGCGAATGAGCGCTCGAGTCGTTCCCATGCTGTGATGACCATTCGCATCCTGGACTCGAAGAGTGCGAACTTTGGGGGTCGGATCAACTTTGTGGATCTCGCAGGCAGCGAGAGCGCGGCCGACGCAGGGAACAAAGACCGCCGGATCCGTTTTGAGGGGGCGGAAATCAACAAGTCCCTGCTCGCGCTCAAGGAGTGCATTCGAGCTTTGGATGAGAAGAGGCGCTACATCCCCTTTCGCAGCTCCCGTCTGACGGAGGTTCTTCGTGATAGCTTTGTGGGCAACTGTCAGACGTTGATCATCGCGAACATCTCCCCTAGTTCCCTCAATTACGAGCACACCCTCAACACGCTGCGCTACACCTTCCGCGTCAAAGGCCTCACCGTTCCCGCGCTACTCCCCTGTC